AGGCAAGGAAATGGGTCCAGTCAATGCTGTGTGCAATTCACAGTCACAGAACTATGCTTCAGGAGTTTAAAGCATAAGGAAAAGAAAGGATTCTTCACCCAGACTTGGATGGAAGGGATTGAGATAATGGCTGAGCCAAACCTTGGAGGGCAAGTAGAAATTAGTCAGACCAAGAAAGGTACTGAAGAAGGAATGGTATTTCATAGAAAGAGAAGGCCTGAAAAAATACTGAGGCATGAAACCACAGCATGTGGTTAGGGCAAAATACAAGTCTCTCAGTATTGCTGGAGAACAAATTAGCATGTGGGAAGTAGTAACAAATGAGGCCGGAGAGGGATCTGTGTGGTAGATGGTGAGAGGGAGGTAGGGACAGATTCATCTACACTGCTGAAGATCTGGGTGTATCTTAAAGGGGAGAGAAGACTTTGTGGTTGTGTTTGTAGAGGAATAAAGAACTCAGATGAAAAAGCAATTGTCTTGACTGGAGTGTAGACAAAGCACAAAAAGGAGTGTGTGGGTAAGGCTATGGCAACATTTCTCCAAGAGAGAAGAAGATGGTTTGAACTCCAGGATGGCTCTAGGGAGCAGCAAATACAACACCATCCTCCACAGGTGTGCAATACATCTTTGTTGAATGAATGAATGAATTAATGATTTAAAAAGCTAAAACTTAACTGGCTTATACCATGGAAATTGTTACATCAAGACAGTATTTTATTACCACAAGAGTAAGGTTTTCAATTATTCAAGACTAAATATAATCAAAACTTGCCAATTAGCTATAAAGTTGTCAATATCAATATGGCATCCCAAGTGCCAAAGCTTGGTTCTTGGGAGGGCAAATTAAAAAACTTACTCTTCTTATGTATAAAATGCAGTTATATAAACAGTATATCAGTAGAAACACAGTCTATCTTTGGTGTACCATGAAGCAGAAGGGAGAGCAGAAAAAATATTTTTAAAGGCTCCATTGGGGGGGAAGTAATGAAAATGGGTTAAGAAATGGTACTCTGAAAAATTATTACAACTTCAGTACTATCAGCTAGTTTTAATCCAGGATATTGACTCTTTTTGTTCAATTTAATTCTACTTAAGACCATCTGAGTATTCAAGATTCAACCTGGCATTATTGCTTGCTTTGTCTTTGGTATCATACTGACTTGAGGAAAATATATCTGAAAAGAAAAACAGAAATATTCCCATGACTCAGAGAAATGGCATTTTAAATGTAAAACTCATTTTTCACCTGAGACCCACAGGCCATTCCAAAATGGTGTCTCGTCGATCCTCAGAGCTATCTATTTTACAGGGAAATGGAACAGAGCACTCTTAATGTTCTCCTAACATCACCCTATGGGGTTGATAATTAGTTGCTCTAAATTCAGGCCCAGGACTTTTAATCTTAGAGCAGTAGATGGCATCAGAGAAGCGGTTTCTGAGGTGGTCATGGTTCTAAGTTGGGAATTGTTTGCTCTTGGAGCCTCTTGTGACCTAGTATCTCAAGGAATCTGGTGAACCCGCTGCTCAGTTAAGGTCAATGCAGAGTCAACACTGGCCTCAGTGTCATCCTATCCATGCGATCTCCTAACCTCCCACCCGTTCTTCCCAGGAAATGCCCAATTCTGATGCTTTGTCCATAGAGGGTCTGCCTTTTCTAAAATGCCAAGGTGATACTGAATTCACAACACAGAGATATCTGCTCTGGCAAGTCCAGAAGAAAAATCTGAGTGGCTGCGCACACATTGCCACCGCATCTGTCTTTCTAATGAAACTGAACACACTCATGTCTGTGCTCAGGGATCCAGATTTTTCATTGTAAGGTAGAATTATCTTCTGAAACTGTTGCCGTGAAGACCCAATCTCTCCACCTGCCAGTCTATTCTCTGAAGGCATTGGGCCTTTTAGATCCATGTTATACTCTTTTAGAAGCAATGGGATCGGGGCGCCTGGGTGGCTCAGTGGGTTAAAGCCTTTGCCTTCGGCTCAGGTCATGATCCCAGGGTCCTGGGATGGAGCCCCGCATTGGGCTCTCTGCTCAGCGGGAAGCCTGACTCCTCCTCCTCTCTCTCTCTCTCTCTGCCTACTTGTGATCTCTGTCTATCAAATAAATAAATAAAATCTTTAAAAAAAAAAAAAGAAGAAGCAATTGGATCGTCCTCTATCTGTGCCAAATGGGAAAATGTATATGCTGAAAAACGTGGATCAGAATTTTATAAGGGATGACCCACCAGATTAATGTAGCCCAAGACAGCTGAGCCAGTTTTGCCTGGATGACTTGGGTTTGCTTTGACTAGATTTGCTTTCTGAGATCTGGATAAAGGCACATGTAGGACATCACACACTTTACCTTCACAAATCAAAAAGGGCATGTCTTCCTTTTTGTGCTGATTCTCGTGATAATTACATGCTCCTGATTTTCCTTCTACTTCTGTGCCTACTTCTCTTTTTCTTTTCTTGAATCAGGTTTCCCACCCAACACTTACATGCTGCTGATCTTCACGTTTTCTCTTTTACTTCTATAAAATCAGGTAATCTTATCTGCTTTTCTAGCTCTAACTATGCTATGTGATGACTCTTGACAGCTTTGTGTCCTGAATATCAGATCTGTACTTAGCTACCAATGGAGATGTCAATTCATGTGTCCCAAAGTCACCTCAATATCTCAGACCAAACTTAGCACATCACTGGAGAGCCTTCCCTCCTGTCTTTCCAAGACTAGCGAATGATGTCCACCTGCCAGAACACTGCTAGAGTCCACACTTCCATCCAGAGCCCCTTTCTCCCTCTCCATCTCCATCCCACCCACACTAACCAAACATCATTTTATCTCCTCAAGTCTTTTCAAGTATCTCTGTTGCTGCTGGTGCAACATAAGCCACCACTGTCTCTGGTCTGGATGGCTTTGACAGGTCCCTAACCATTACTCCTGCCCCTACTACAGTTCTGTCCCATTCATCGGCTCACACTGAAGCCAAGCCACTCTCTCCAAGCTATGAATCTAACCATAGGATTTTCCTAGCTAACTGCTGACGGTTCTACATTTTGAAAGCCCTCTTTCCTCTGGTTCTTATCTCTTATCTCTCCAACTTAAGACTTCCTTAAATTTTATGATAGAGCTACTCTGAGATTCTTACCCACCACCTTATTCTCTCTCCATTCTCCGCTCTCTCCTTCCTTCCCCATCTTACCCAAGCCTTCAGAATCTACATCGATTTCCTCACACTTTCTTTGTTGTCTCACTGTCAGCTCTCAGGGCTGCTTGTTTATCCATTTCCCATGTAAAACCTCCCTTCCTGACACTTGGAGTCAGAGTAGATGTCACTTCTGCGTGCTTCAGAGGACACTGCACAGTGGTAATAACATCACCTGTGCCTCCCTGACCACATGCCCTGCTCATAGGTATACATCATACTGTCAATAGTGAAGAAATGTCATTTCCTACACATAAAATGCACTGCCTCATCCTCCATCACCCCTCCGCACCTTGACTTGGCTACTCTTCCTGGTCTTTAACCTTCACGAGCAGGCTTCTGGAAAGTTTTCCCTCACAGCTCAGGCCAAACTCAGTGACTCTCCTTTATGCTTTCATGGTCATGAGTCATCTTTTTTTTTTTTTTAAAGATTTATTTAGTTATCTTAGAGAGAGAGAGTGAGCACACACAGGAGGGGCAAAGGGAGAGGGAGACAGAGAATCTCAAGAAGGCTTCACACTCAGCTCAGAGTCCAACACAGAGCTCGATCTCACAACCACGAGATCATGACTTGAGCTGAAACCAAGAGTTGGATGGTTAACCGACTGAGCCACATAGGCTCCCTTGTAATGAGTCCTCTTTTATTATGAAGATCAGCTTGTACTACTCTTTCCCACAAGATCTTCCAAAGCCTCCCTGTTTCACTCAGAGTAACCCTCAAAGCCCTTAAAATGGTCTACAGTGCCCTGCAGGATCTGCCCTCTTGGTTCATCTTTTACTACTCTCCCCTTCCTTTTTCCAAGTAGGCATGCTACCCCCTAAGGGCCATGGTGGTAACTGAAATTCTTTCCCTAGATATTCACATGACTCACTCCCTTGTCTCCTTTAACTTTTGAGCAAATGTCCCCTTATCAATGAGGCCTACTAACTCACCCCATTTTAAGTTGTAATCTATACCACCCCTCTCTACCTGCACACTCCTAACCCATTTTGTCCTCATTTTTATTTTTTTTTAAGATTTTATTTATTTATTTGACCGAGGGAGATCACAAGTAGGCAGAGAAGCAGGCAGAGAGAGAGGGGAAGCAGGCTCCCTGCTGAGCAGAGAGCCTGATGTGGGGCTCGATCCCAGGACCCTGGGATCATGACCTGAGCCGAAGGCAGAGGATTAACCGACTGAGCCACCCAGGTGCCCCTGTCCTCATTTTTATAATACTTATTCCCTCTTAGCAAATGATATCATTTATTTATGATTATTACTTACTATTTGTCCCTCTCTGTCCTGATTGTATTATGTTAAAATTTTTTTCTTTATCCACTTGCCCACCACCAAATCATGCACTCTTTGGTTGCAGGGGGTTTTGCTGTTTTGTCTATTTACAGTACCTAGCATATTTCCTGAAAATAGCCAGCTTGTAATAAATGTTGGTTAATTACATGTATTCGTCTCTCATCTTACCACCCCAAAGCTTTGCAGGGTTGGTAGTCACAGCATGCCAAATTAGAATGTGAATGCAAGAGTGTCATTTTCTTCGTGGAAAAGCTGGACTGTAAACTCTCACACATCTGAGATCTCCAAAGATGAAAAGTCCAATATGGGCCACTATGGTGAATGTATCTCCTGCAGAGTCCCTTAACCTTCAGAGGTTAAATATTTACCATTGTCCATTTGGCTTTTTTCCCTATTCCATGTCTAGAATTGGGGCAATTATTTTGATGTGTTAGAAAACCAAAGGAAAACCTGGGTATCTTAAGCTTGAAAAGTAGTATCTTGCCTTCTGTGACTTCTCTTTTTCTTTCCTTTCTCAGAGCTCTTCCTGCCATGATGCAGTGGGTCCGCACTCAGAAGCCAGGAGAGAGTGGCATCAACATTGTCACTGCTGATTTTGTAGAACTTGGTGATTTCATCAGCACCGTCATAAAGCTCAACTATGTCTTTGATGAGGGAGAAGCCAACACTTGATAGTACGGTTTGGAGCACCCATGAGTAAGATAGAGAAGACTCATTGTATTAGGCATATTATCTATAAACACTCTGATCTTCCTATTCCACTGGGTCTCTGAGGGGATTAGGCTGGTAGTGGGTGGGAAAAGCGGGAAACCATTTCTTCAGTGATTATTATCATACTGCATTACTATAAATATTTCATTTCCCATTTGATGAGCAAAATCTGCTTCTAGTGTAAGGGATAAAAAAAGACCCGTGAATTTTGCTTTTCAGAATTAGTCTTTGCAACGTATAACTCATGAGTGTTTACTTGATTGCATTTCTGATTTCAGCCTAGGGCTCCTACACTGATTCCTCTAACTGAACCTTCCCACTCCCTCTCTCGCTCGCTCTTTTTAATCAGATGCCGTATGGGACTCAAAACAATTGAATGCCCAACGTAATATGTATTACATTGTTGTACTGAAATTTGTTTTTGTGAAACTAGGTATAATATAATATCCTGTAGTCATCTGCAATTGGTCGATCATTGCTAACTTTTGGCCATAGAAAATATGCATCAAGTCAGTTTCCCTGCATCAGTAATATTGGAGGACATAATCAGTAATTTTTGTGTTATATGAAAATAACAGTGTTTCACAGTATTTCTATTTAAGGCAGCTATAAATATAGTGTAAAAATTTTTTGAAAAAACAATTAGTGCCAACTCTGTAGTGAAAGATGGGGGGGGAGAGAAGGATGCCATTTTAATTCAGGAATCCTTTAAATAATATCGCCCTGCAAATGCTCAATAAATGAAAAATTATGACAAATATGTTAAAATCAGGAAACTCTGAAAAGAACTCTTACAAAAATCTCCTCTAACAATTCTCTTGATTAAAAAAAAGGTAGAAAAGAAAGCAGAAATAAATAAAAGATTGTGCACGCTTTGCTATGAAATTGGGATCTCCAGACATGTAATTCTAAATCCCAGATTTTGAAGAACATATTTTGAGAAGTTTGGATTCAGATTTTTACTTGAAGTTGAGGAAAGCGGAAAGATGGCAGAAAGAACTAGAGTAATTTTTGAAACTATGTCCATAAATTCTGAAAGATCCATGAAATGTCTTTAGGAGATTCTTAAATACACGTGATCTGGGCAGCTGCACTGAAAATTAACACTGACGCATCATTTCTGGGTTCTGTCCTACCCCAGGATTGAGACTGGGGCAGAAGCAAAAGTTTTACAGAACCTCCCAGTGTCCCAAAATTGGATAGTCTTGGTCTACAGGGAAGGAAAATGATAACAGGACTTTGAGCCTCGCTTCCTCATGGTGTCTTTGTGATATCTGACAGCTCTAAGATAACTTTAAAAGAGCACAATAACCCTCGACTATGTGCCTCCCAGGAATATTGTGAGGCACTTCCCAAAATCTATAAATTGCTGAAATTCTTATAATTATGAATTATTTTATCTTCATGTTTATAAATAATTGCACCTCAGTAGTTCCCTGGGAAAATGCAGTCCATGCAAAGTAGGGCTATGGCGAAATAAAAGCATGCCCTCAGTTTTTAATTAATTTAAACCCAGGACATATGGTTTAATCTCTTAGACCTAGACAAGGGGGTTGATTATGTCCAGATTATGAATAATCAAGAGCTGGTTATGAGATTGTAAATACTCTTTGTCCAAAAATAGTGTTTATTAGCAGCTGCAGGGTAGCAAGAGAAATTGATCACACAGAAGAGAGTACTTCTACAGAGTCTGTAGGTCCGCTCAGTAGACCTCAGTAGACCTCAGCATAGTAAGCGCATACACGGAACAGTTCCACATTCCAGTTGTGGGTCTATGTCTTGCTTCCCACAGTACACAGTGTCCACCCACTCCTGCCGGTGGACAGCTGCGAAAGCACACACACACACACACACAGACATGCGCAGACACAGACACAGGGCTGTTCAAGCAAAAACATGGATAATATTAAATAATTTAATTTTGAGACTGAAACCCTTAACAAGGTATGAAAAGAGTGATAAGAGCTTTGAAAGGAGAGCAGCTGACCATATTCAAATATTTTTGTAGAAATATCCTAGCTTGGGACTTAATTATTCACAAATATAGTTTTCTTCCCACTTTCCCTCCTCCTGCAGTTTATTGTCTTTTTAGCTTTTCACCTGCTCTTAATGTGCAATTGAATATGAATCATCTTTAAAGGACTATGGATTTGTGAAATGTTCATCCTGTAAATTTGCTTTGTGAGCAGATTTTCTCTCTGACAATTCATTTTTCATCCCTCAGGAGGTTCTTTAGCCAAGCACACTTGCAATGACACAAGGATTTAACTTATATATATAACAGAAAAAAAAATTTCTCAACCTATTAATGAAGAATGAATAAAATATAGAGGTAACTATGTTGTATTTTCTTGAACTTAGATGCTTTCTTACAATGTTTGCTTAGAGTTAGCTTTGTCATATTTGTCATTTGGGTGCTGGAAAAAACAAACATGCTGAAGCTTTAGACGAACTGTGCAGTTTTTAACTGGAGAAAGTTTTTTTTGCTCTTAATGATATGCACACAGAAACCTTGTTTGACAAAAGGTACTTTCAAGTCAATGCTATGGTTTCCACATGGACATACAGTCCCTATGTAGCAGGCACCAAGAGTAAATGGACTTGCCTTAATTTCTAAACAAGGGAACAGGTAGAAGCGAATTATGGGTCCTCCAGCTAGTGGGAGAGTCACCAGGAGGGAGTCCTTGGAAAGCGGAATGGAGAGAAGGCAGCTTTGGTTGTTTCCTGTCCATTGGCCCTGCCCTGGAGCACACTTAAGGAGCAGGCTGTGGGCCTTAAATAAAAAGTGGGGGTGAGGATTAGTATTATGCGATCAGAGTTTACCCTCAGCCTATGCTCCTTTGCCTCAGCAGGGCATTGTCTTTCTAGAGAGCTAGGAGCACAAGGGCTACAAATAGACCCCAAGATAGATAGTAGGAGATACATCTTGGTGCATTTTTTTTTTTTTTTTTTTTTTTTGCTTTTTCTTGAGACTTTATGTCACAAGTCCTGCAAGGCAAAAAACAGAAACAAAATCGAACTTTTACCCAATCTGCTGCAGGAAATCAAAGGAGCGGGTGGGATGAGGGAAAATATGTGAAGAATATCCTTTTTTTTTTTTTTTGGCTTGCTTTCCTGTCTGTAATTTTGAAGGACCAAAATGGTGAACACTCCTGCCGTTATCATGTATGTCTCCCTTATTACTACACAACCATATGAGTGCAGAGAATGAGGAGGCATCTTTTAAAAAGCCTTAGGATATTCTATATGATGACCTCAATATTCACTTTCAGCCATACTGGGAAAACTCACTTTTCGTGGAGCCCCACCTAACAGTGAATGTACTAGAGCATGAAGTGTTTGGCATGTATGTGCCTATAAGTATACACACATGCAGACAGACAGACAGACACACACACGAGATGCACATCTCACACACACATTATTCAAGTTAAAACTGCACTCTCTAATCACTCAACTTGATTCTCTTGCCATTTTAACTCTCAAAATCGATATTTACTACATTAATGGACATAAACATAATTCAGATATTTAAATATTTAAAAGGAGAAGGAAATCACTAGAAAACCAGTGAAAAATGAGACCGTCATAAATAAGAAATGCCGGGGCGCCTGGGTGGCTCAGTGGGTTAAGCTGCTGCCTTCGGCTCAGGTCATGATCTCGGAGTCCTGGGATCGAGCCCCGCGTCGGGCTCTCTGCTCTCTAGGGGAGCCTGCTTCCTCCTCTCTCTCTGCCTGCCTCTCTGCCTGCTTGTGATCTCTCTGTCAAATAAATAAATAAAATCTTTAAAATAAATAAATAAATAAATAAATAAGAAATGCCTCTCAGTAATAGTCTAAATACATTGTCGATTGTACTTCAAGATGGAGAATTGAAGACGGACTTGAATATAAATTACAAACAAACCCTCATCTTTACTTAAAGCTGTTTTCAGTTCTTTGAGGTCCTGACATGTTTTAGCCAGTTACCTGTTCAGGTTCTCCTCTGTTAGCAGTCCAGACTGGGAAGTTGGAAGTCTCAGGAAATGCATGTTCTTATGAGTTTCCAGTCCTGTAATTTTACAGATCCAATGACACAGTCTCCTGACCTTTAGTGACTCATCCAAATGAGAGCTCCATGGGTAGAGTGCTTGAGTTTTGAATTGCTAACAGAAAATAATGCAAGGTGTCCCTCAGGATATGCTAAGCAAGGTTTTTAAAAGTATTTGATTTCACAGCACTTTAGTCTTTTCAACTAGATTTCAGTGACACACTGGTGTAAATGCTATATTTGCCATAACTTCTTGGCGGCTCCTGTGTTACATACAGTTTTAAATAATGCTCTAAATTGTTTGTTTTCCCGACATCAATGAAATGTTCTGTAGAATTTGTAAAATGTATTGATTGAGTCTGTTGAAAATTGTGCGGTTTTTATTTCATTTGTGAATACTATTCATAGGTATTAGTTCTAAATGTATATGTGTATGAGTCAAAAGTATGTGCTTGTATGTGGTTTGTGTATTAATATATCTTATCTTATAAAAAATCAAACTTATCCTAAAGAAAAAGGGCACGTTATGACCAGCCTTAATTCATTGCCATTTTTTGTTGTTGTAATTTGGGATTAAAATTTAAAGAAAAATTATGTTTTTGTTTAAAATGTCCTTTTTTTTTTTTTTTTTAAATCGTATGAGGACTGTGCTTTAGAAATGATCTGAGTTCCCCCAAGCAAACAGTTAAGCTTCTGGAACACCTGAAACTTCTCCAAAGTTTCCAATGTCAATCATTTATGAACTTCATTATCATGCAAAAACATAGATTCAAGTTTGTTTCCATCAGCAACAGAACCAGTGCACTTCAAAAGCTGTTCTTCCAAACACGGAACCACTCTGCTTTTGAGGATAAATTTTCCATGGAAAATGGTTTCTTCAAACCATTCATTTTTTTAAAGATTGGATCTTCTCACTTAAGATGAGCTGCCTAGGCTCTGTGAGAGTCGCTAAGACCCATCAACATTAGGTGGTTCCAACATGGTTCCCTTCTCAAAACACAGGCATACAATATCCTTTTAAACCTTTGCTATCTGCCTACGTGTAGTCTAGCAATAGAAAATGCATGACTAATTCAAGGATCTGCATGAGTTGTCATGCTCAAAGCAAAAATGTTGTCATCTTTCTTGAGCCTGGGCTCTGGGTATGGAATATTAATCAATCTTATTTTCTCTTCTTTTTCTATCCTCAATTATTTCTATTCCATATTTAGGCTTTCTAGATAAAACACAGAGCATCCAGTGAAACTCAAATTTCAGTTAAATAATATATTTTAGTATAAGAATTTCCAAAACATTCCGTGAGACATACTAAAAACTTTTCCATTGTCTATCTAAAGTTCAAATTTAACTGGATGTGTCCTGTATTTTTTCCCCTGACAACCCTATCCATCTTGCCTCTCTCTTTTCAGTTGGGCTACCTACAAAGGGTGAGATCCTACCTCCTTCTAAACCCTTACATTAATGTATCTTATGGAAATCTATATCCTAATACCCTTCATGAAGGAAAATGTCGGTCCATAGTAAGTTCCACGACCAAAGGACCAATTCAAATAGAGACAGCATAATCGAGCAAGCAAGTGCCTCTATAATATTAATGCTACCACATTCAAAATTTCCCTTTACCATCCTGTTGCAAGATCTAGAGTCACCCCCATTAATCCCTTAAGCAACGTTCCCCAGCAACTGGGACACCCCAAAACACACTACACTTTAAATATGTCCCTGGAAACTGGTAGCACCTTCCAACTCAATACCAGGACCTCTTTTAAAATTCAATTTCTTCTTCATTTGGAGAGGTAACGA